GCTTCCATGCCCTGTGCAGTTCCCAGCTCTGCTGCTGTGGCTTGGGCGGGATGAGGACGTCTGTACAGTGTGGGGGACTGGTGTTTGTGAACAGGCACGCAGGAGTAAGGTTTTATGGGACAATGCCAACTTGGCAGCTTAGCTGTCACTCAGAGCACCCTGCCTGCAAGGTGCACGCACAGACTGTCCCAGTTCTGTGTAGTTGTATTTGGTACATATACAAGAGTTATGTGAGCTTTGTGTGGTTCCAGGTGTCCTCTGTTAAGAGGAGGAGCTGGTGGGAACTGGAAATACAGGTGTTTTCTGATTTCATTCATCACTGAAGAATCTTCATGGTCTTTGTTGTTACTCTGCAGTAGCTGTCCCCCTTCCACTTCCCGGGTCACTATATGGACAAATGTAAAGTTGGAGAAGTTCAGTTTGTTGTGTATAAAACTTAATGAATTGTTTCTTTGAACAGAATGAAGCCTCAGGCTTGTTTTTGTAGGAATATAGCCCAGAATAGCTATTCCTTACTGCCTGGAAAACACAATTTACCCTGGCAAAAAGCGTAGGCAAAGGTGAGGTGCCACCTGCTGGCTCCGTAAAGCTTTGTGCTAGGGAATGTCTGCTGGGTCCCTGGGCAGCAGAGCCTGGTCCTTGTACCCTGCCCCGTGGGGACTGGAGGTTCGGAAGGCTCAGGTCGGTTTTTGAGAGCTTTCTGCTAAGAAAAGCAGCACTGGGCTGTTCAGCAGAGTTGTCACAAGGCATTACAAAAACATCCTAAGGAACCTGCTGGGACTATGGTAATATTTATCTTTTCTCATTTTTCTCCTAGCTTTTGTAAGTAAAGATAGCTCTTTCAAGTGCAGCGACACTGTTCATAAACAGTTCTGAATAATCTAGCACACTGAAAAATAAAGTTGTTGCCATCCTAGAGGTTCCCTGGGGAAATGCTCAGATTAGGCTTCTCCAAGCAGCTGGAATGGTCTGGGGCCCTGACTGGTGCAGGAATGCTGACGGCCCTGCGGATCCCCCTGCTCCAGACCCCCCTGCTCTGGGTCGGGTTCACCCAGAGGCTGGGTGGAGAACAAATGAGATTAAAGTGAACTCTGCAAAAGTGCTGGCCAAAACCGGCTTGGTTTGTTTTTCATGATGTCACTTCTATTTTAAAATCTAAGTTATGGAAACCATTTACAGTGGACTTTAACAAGATTGTAGTTTCCTGTGAGCAAGATATTTCTAAAGAGTTAAAGCTCTAAGGGTCGCAAGAAATTGTGTTGTGTAGTATAAGAGAAATTTCTGGAGGGTGAATTTTTGAAAGAAAGTTGGAAACTAGCTATTTTTAGAATCAGGTTTTAAAAATACACTTTCTGAGAGGAGAAAACGAAAATATTTTAACTTGTAGATAAGAGGTGTGAGAGAGTTGCTTGACAGTCTTTCAGGGGATGAGTCAGGTAATTATAAAATGGCCTAGAATGGCTATCTTCTACTTTAGTTGTTCAGTGATTTCTCAAGTGAGGAATAATGGCAAGATTCTTTTTACCTTTGTAATGTCCAGCAGAATATCTTCATTTCTGGTTTTAAAACTTTTCTTCTGCTTAACAGAGAAATGAAATTGGATTGATTGGAAGTGACGGCTTTGTTTCCATTTCTCTAAATGTTTCTTAAGCAACTATAAAGTTGCTAGAGCAAAGAACTTACTTTACCATATAGTTATGTATCTGAAAAAAAAAATTTTGACTTTTACCGTATGTAACGTTTTGCAGTAAAGCTAAGGAAGATACTTAGAAGAAAACTAGCTCTGCTCATCGAAAGAAGTGCAAAGTATTTGCGAGGCCAAAATTGATAGTTAAAAGTTTTGCCTACGATTTTGCAGTAAGATGTGCCACAAATATGCACAGTCTAAATAACTGCTCCTTCTAAAAACTTGTCATGTGTTACGTGTGTACCTTTGTGCTGCGCTGCTGCAGTGCGTGATGTAAAGCAAATAAGAGTACCAAATGTATTTAATAAAGTGAAGGGGCCTGTTTGATTAGATTAGGGCTTCAGCTGGCCTTTATGCCCTTTTTAGGCAATGAGAATTCCTGACACCATGTTTTAAAACCTGCTTTTTAGCACATAATATATGAGTTGTCCTATATGCTGTGCTTTCTTTTGTAGCAACATTTTCTGAAAGTCATTATCATGCAATCTCTGTGTAGTACAGGCATGGTAATCAGCGTTACCATTGTAACTTTTTGAAGGTGTCTTATGTAAAGTATCCTTTCTTATTTAAAAATAAAACCCTAAACACCCACCTTTGATAGCTATTAGAAAATACGTCCAAAACTCTTTAAACTTAAATTTGCCAGGCCACGTGTGATTCTCTTCCTCTTGCTGAAGTGAAGACTCAGTTACTGAAATGGTGGTTTGTTTTTTTTTTTTACTCTCCTGCTTTATTTTTCACTTGTTTGTGTGTGTGGGAACACTGTAGGTCAGGGTTTGAAATAGCTACTTTGATCATAATAGAGAAATGAGTGAGACTAAGGGCTATGACCTGAACGTTAATTAATGTATATAAAGGATGAGTCGTTTTCCAGTGTGAGACATACCAAAGCAGTAAATAAAAGGTAATTAATTCTAGGTAACAGCATTTTACAGCCATTCATGGAGAGGAAATACAGCCTATGTGAATGTAAGGTATGGTTATGCAGTGCTAACTCTCTGTCACAGTTAAGGGTAGCATTATTCTGCAGTATGCTAATTATTCTGCTCCTTATAATTAACTGTTAGAACTACACCTTGAAATATTTGAATGCAAATGGACATGCAGAAATGTGGTAAATAGCAGCGTGTTGATGCAGCATTCAGGCAGTGCAGCCTGTTCACAAACAGTGCTGTGTAATCGGCTGCAGGAAATGTTTTTCTCTTATGATAGTGTGTAAGGGCTTAAACTGTCAGGAAGGACAAAGCATTAAGGCTCTAGGAATGGGAAGTTTGCATGCAGATTGTGTGGCATCTGGTGCAGCTGTCAGCTAATTGTCCTTCAGCTGTTACGCACCTGGAGAAACAAATACCATGAGAGTATGAAAACTGTAGGAGGTGGCACACTAGACCACAGACACTCCTTTAGTTACTCTTGGAACACAGCTTTGAAAAATATAGATGTGCTGCCCTCTGCATTTTCTGCAGCCATTAAACTTGGATGTTCTCAGCTCCGGGGCTTCTTACAAAAGGTCCAAGCTCTTCCAAAGTGATTGGTTTTAGTTCAGAGCAAGCCAGACGCTGTTCTTTTGATGTAGTTTACCCTGAAATTGAGAATTCATTCCTCCTTGTTCTTCTAATGATCAGGAGAACTTTACCTAAGTTAGTAGTTCAACTTTGGAATTGTTTCCTGTCGATGTCAACTGTGGTTTACAAATAAGCTCTAATGTTTATAACAGTAATACTTTTCAAAAGCAGACATCCTGAAAATAGCTGTAAGCATATTCCTCATTAGGTGTAGATGTTGGTAGGAACTAAAAATTCACTGTTCTTGCAAAGGCAGTTGTTAAACCCAGGATTACTTTACAGAGAAACTTGACCGAATGGCGCAGATGAACCTTTATGTGCTTGTGTCTGTTCAGTGGCCTTGAATTAAATATCACTGTATGTAACTGTGACAGACAGGGACACCTTTCTTGATGTAAACAACTGAGATGAAGGACTCCGTAAGTGGGATTCCAGCGTATAGTATATATATGAGGCCCTTCTTTTACTTAAGAGGCAATAACTTAAAATTGATGTGCTTTTGAAGTACAGGGTAAGTGCAGGTTTGAAGTAATGCAGTTAGTATACGTGGTATGAGCATCTGAACTGGAACGTGGGCTACTGGAGAGCAAATCATGTTTGCTGCATGTCTGATCTGTTATTATATATATATTCTATATATATATTCTCAGTATTTCTATAGAGCTGAGAAAGGGGTCAGGGAGGCTATTGAGCCTGAACGCATGGATCTAGCTTTTGCTCCCCAAACACATTACGGACACTCTGGCTTACTTGCAGAGAGTCATTCAAGTTACCTTTTTTGTGTGCGTGCTCAACTTGAAGCAAGAATTTGGCTGAATAAAAGGAGAATCCCTGAACTTCTTGCAGAAAAACGAGAGAAACCAACTTGTCTGCTTCAACACTGTCACGATTAACTGTTTCTTCCAAGCCAAGTGCTTAAAAATTGTGACTGTTAGCAAAAAGGTTCCCTGTGCTCTCCTTGTCTGTGAGTACTATATAGACTGGACATCTTTTGAAGAATGCCCGTTTCCTCTAAGAGCAGTATTTAGTGAGCAGTTATGCAGTCTGTTCTGTATTATTATTTTTTTTTGGTAATAGGATTGACTGGAGTGCTACTCCTTAGGAGCTGTATTCCCTAAGCCTTTCATCAAGGTATTTTAATTTTCCTTAGTGAGAACAGAATGTTACTTCAATGGCAGTGCTATAATTAACTTGGAGGCAAACTTCCTTTGTTCCCTCTGTAGGTAATACACAGGGATATGAGTCAGTAATAACCAATTAGCTTGTTTGTAGTGAAGTTCTCCATTACTGCCCTCCAACAGCAGCAGCAACGGTAAGTGTAAAGCATCTTAGCTCTTCTTTTGACTGCAGTATCTGTCAAAACCAGTGGCATTAAGTTGGACTCATAAATAGTAGGTATAGTTGGTATCTCTTTGTGCCTACCCTGCAGCCTGCCCTGCTCTGGGGGAATTATGGCCTTGGAGTTCTTACTGAGAAACCCGGGTACTGGTGTTCATCTGAAAATAGATATGGCTTGGTTACTGATGGAAAAGGGCATGGCAGGATGGGATTCTTGTTGGTGAAGCAGCAAGGTGTGTAGTGTGTACAGCTTCCAAGCACTCTTTATCTGTTGTAGAATAACAGATAGATGTGAATACTGCATGCAAAACCTTTCCTTTCAAGGGTGTATTTGGAGGTTGAAGATGCTTTGTAGTTGGGATATTTACCTTAACTATGGTTATTTCTTTTTAATATTTTTTTTATAGATCTAGTTAAGAATAAGACTTGGGTTTTCAAGTGTTTGAGCAACTTGCTACTGCCCAAGTCATGACGCTCCCATTTCGGAAGGACTTGGACAAGTACAAAGATCTTGATGAGGATGAAATTCTTGGCAAGCTTTCAGAAGAAGAACTGAAACAACTGGAAACTGTTTTGGATGATCTTGACCCTGAGGTAGGTATTAGCAAGAGAAGTTTTATTTTTTCATTTGTTCAGAAACTAATCTGAAAGAAATTGGCTTTTTTTTTTTTTTCATTTGTACAATATGCTTTTGGACAGAGTTTTTTCCTAGCCTGTGAATGATCTTATTTACAGGCATATACGTGTATATAATGTTCTGACAGTTTATTTCCTGTTTGCAATGTGAATGCAAACTGCAGTAGAGAAGAATGGAAGAAGGGATTGCAAGGAAGAGCTTTCAAGGATTTATTTATAAATAAAAATTGCTCTTACTCATGTTCTTGCAAGTTTATTTAGGAAGGCCTATTTAACTTTTCTTTCCAGCGTTGTCTGGTAAACAGCCCTTTTGCATCCATTTTTATTTTGTTGCTTCTACCATTGGACTTTTATGGGAGAGGGAGGCTGCTAACCGGTTCTAAAGATTCCTGGTCCTGGATCTGGTAGCCTACATCTATTCCTGTCCTCGTGCTGACTTTGCAAAGAGGAGGCAAATAATTACGCAGCTCCTGAATGATTATGTCAGCGTGGGTTATTGACTAAGGAATATTTTAGCTTTCTGTTAGAAAGAGCTGAGTTATATCCTGTACTGATACTGCAGCTAATGTTAAGAGTCCAAGACTTGTGTTTTCACCACTTGATTCTGTTCTTGCTTTAATAATACCAGGATTAAGTTTAATCTTGACGTTTAAGGATCATTTGAGAATAATATGATCACCTGTTTTGTTGTACTGCAAGATATTCTTGATATTCTAATAGCCTTTGGCTTTATATATATTTTAACAGAGGAGAACTGGAAAAAGTGTCTTTTATGAGTCTGAATTTCTATACCTTCTGTTTTTTCCATATGAATATCCTCCACTTTTTTCCTCTTTTTTTTTTTTTTCTTTTTCTTCAGCTGAAATATGTTGATAATAGCAAAAAAACACCACACCTTGAGTCAGGTCAAAAGTAGGAAATACTCTGTGTTAAATGCTGGACAATAGTAGAGGCAGTTGTCTTAAAGACACAGAAACACATAGATTTAAGTGATGGAGGAAGCAGTCTCTTGCTTAATGTCTAACCTGTGAAAAGCTGAGTTTTAGTTTCTACTATTTATTTAAACAGTGTTCATTCTAGAAAAGAAATGCAAACTAGCTAGCAAGTCTAGTGCTGGGAGCTGTTGTACGTAGAGAATTGCTTCAGCCGTATTCAGAGTGCATTGTGCTCTATTTTTAATTATATTCTTGGTATCTAAGGAATAGATTATCTTGTGTCCTCCCCCGCTCCTAAAAAAGGAAGTTGGCAAGGGATCAGAGATTGCCTGAAAAGGATGATATATGGGTTTTGAACCTTGGGCAGAGGGAGAAGGATGAGGGAAATGAAACCAAACAGGTGTTCACTCAGACTTTCTAAGCTGTACTTATTTGTTCCATTTTGTTTTGCAGAACGCACTTCTGCCTGCAGGCTTCCGACAGAAAGACCAGACTGCTAAAAAGGCTTCAGGTCCCTTCGACAGGGAACGGCTCCTTGCATATTTAGAGAAGCAGGCTCTTGAGCACAAAGACAGGGAAGACTATGTGCCTTTCACAAGAGAAAAGAAAGGTAACGCCACCCTTTCCGGTGTAGGTGGTTATAAAACCTCTGAAGTGGACTAGCCAGAACTACCATGAATCAAAGTTTATTGAAGTACTGGCAGCGCTAATGCTTTTTAACTTACAGCGTTTCCAAATGAGTGCTACTGTGCAGAGGCAGGATGCTTCCTGTTCTAGCATTTCATGGTGCTGGGGCTGGTCTGCTGTTTGCATGTAGCACAGGAAGGAAATAAGACTCAGAGATTCTATCGAAGATTGCAGAGTTCCGATGGGGATAGTATCCTCCAAGTAAAAGCTACCCCTGATTTGTGTCAATAATAACAAGTGCTGCTGTTGTGCCTGTGGTGCTGAGTACAGACAGTAACATTTGTAATACTATGTTGAATTTGAAAGCAGTAAAATAATGTCGTGGTATATAATAATGTACAAAGATGTTCTAGGCTGACAAGGCCAGGCAAGTGGTGTATGCAGTCATGTTTCTAGTATCCTTACTGAGAGGTTTAATAAGATTGCATAGTTATTATTAACTAATTACATAGTTAACGTTGCACGAAGCTTTGAAATCTGGCAGTGGTTTGTGGTCTGAAAACCATGGAAACATTGATCCAATGAGTGGACACGTTATTAAAGCCTGGAATTTTAAATCTGGTTTGGATCTAGTCTTCTCGTTGACTTGATGGGAAGCATTTTCCTTTTCAGGAGTAAATTTAAAAAGTATGCGCATCTTAAATATTGTAAGAATGATTTTTTAATTTTTTTTTCCCCAAAAACAAGAGTTCCCAAATTTTTTGTGCCTTACTAAGCACTGTTGGTGGACACAAAAACTCCCAGTCCTGCGCTGGGCATGTATGGATAGGAGGAGGCTTTTAGCTGATGCCACAGGCTGTGTGTACTGCTTGTGAGTCCTAGCTTGTCTGAACCTTCCCCAGCAGCAGGGCAGATCTGCTCCAGTAAGATTTCAGTAAATTGTTTGATAAGTTGTATTCCCAATGCCCAAGGTGAACAAGCTCTTCTTAAGGGTTTGAAACCCTTTAATTCTACTTAATTCTCTGGTGTGAATCATTGCTTATTTCAGACTTGAATCTTCGTTCATCTACTCAGTTTGTATATCTGCTTGTGGTGTATATTTGAAAATTTTCTTTGGGGTGTTGGCATTTTCACTGTCTGTTGTTAGATAGTTGTTACCTGACAATGTTGGTCTCTCTCTCTTTTCCTTGAAGTAATAGAGATATTGTGAGTTTATAATGTGCTGCACCTTATATGATGTACTACTTTTTAATACACCATGTTTTGCCTTATTTGTGTAGTTCAGTACCACTTTTCAGAGCTAACTCTGACACTCCCTTGCTGACAGGAGAATGGGGCTTTGCTGACTGAATCTGTAAGAGTAACGGAGTTAAGTATAATGCAGTGTATTCAGTGTGGAAGGCAGTCAAAGGCACTTAGAGCAGCAGAACCCCTGTGGTACCTCTGCTGCTGGCAAGTACCTGTTGATCCCACGTTTGGCTGTGTAGTGTGCTGCTGCCTTCTCCCCCGTTCTGCTTCTTGCCCACTGTGTTTGCTAGTATGTGTTGGAGACAGCCTCATGGTTCGGTGTGATTGAGTCCAAGTGTTATTTGGGCTCACAGGTGCTTTGGGGAATCCCTTGCAGCCCAGCTAGCTTGTACACTGCTCCTTGAGGGTGTGAGGCTGGGCGTGGAGGATCTGCTCTAGTTAGTACATCTTCTACTTAGTGCTTCATTCAGATAGGCGGTTCTTTAAACTCAGCTTACGTATACATGCGCATGGCAAAACTGTTTGTTTGGGTAGATAAAATCTGTGAGAATCATGTAGAAAACCAGAAGGGTCCAGCTGTAATGCAGATCTCGGTTAAGAAAGATCAAATGTCATTTCCTTTATGTAATAAAGTATTACTAAAGAGCAGTCTGTCTGGATGTTGCAATATGTCATACCACTTCAGTTAGTAAAATTTCCTGTATCTCCTAAAAAAAAAAAAAAAAAAAATTGCTATTATTAACTTTTCCTACCATTTATTTTAATATAATTGAAGAGAAAATAATATGGAAAATTAAATGCAGCTTACTTTCATTAAGACATTTGGAAACAAATGTTCAGTAGGGAAATTCATGCTCTGTTAAATGGACAGGAGGCGGCAAGAAGGCCAAGCTTGTTTTGTGGTAGGTGAGGGATAAGCTTTTCTTTTCTCCTCCTGAAAATGTTCAGCTTTGACTGCTGCCATGTTTATAGCCATGGCAAACCTATGTAACAATCTTTTTGAATGCTTTAAGTGTTTTTGCCAAGAAAGGTTGGATCAGGTAATTCTTGATGTCCCTTCCTTCTGTGATGATATGAAATCAAGAAATAATGATCTTTATCTAGATGTAAATCGTGGAAAGGGAGTGGAGCAAAACTTAATACATGTGTAGGATGGGTTTTTTTTTTATCTAGAGGAAGCTCTTATTCTAATGTGCTTTAATACTAAGAAAACAAACTACTAAAATGGATTATAATCTTACTCTTTGGCTAAATAAATATATTATGGAGAAGTACTAACAAATTATGGAATAGGGGTAGGTGAAAATCTTGCTTGATTATCCTGTTAATTCAGAAGAAAACTGACAATTGTAACCTTTCAGATCTAGAGGTTTGGGGGGGAGCGAGATGGATTGGAGTTGCAGCTGTTTTCCTGGTGCCATTATTGTGGGTCAGGCTTTGCTAAAATATTTCTGCTTGCCTAGCTGGTCTTGTTACTTTAACTTGGTCTAATTATTCATTTCATGGAGTAAGGGGGGGGAAAATCTGTGCTTCTCTTTCCTTTGACTGTTGTCATAGGACTGATGTCCTGCATGGCAGTTTGGCCTGCAGGTTATCAAAGCAGCTTACGCTGGGTTAATTTTAACCATCCTGGCTTGCTACTGATTCTGGTAACCTTGTTTCCTTACGATAGTGTAAAGGAAAATCCTTTCTTCCAGTTGTCCTAGGTACCTCTTTTTGGGGTAACACGTTATTAAAACTATGTTGCATCTCTTTCACTGATAGATTACATGACTTTTCCAAATCTGTGAAACCCTCTTTTGCTGTGTGCTATGAAATATGGAAGATCTGAAAGAGTATAGTGTGTCCTGAGGTAGTGATGAAGAGTGCTAAAGAAATGTGAAGCTTAACAATCCCTAAATTCTATTGCATTTTTCCAGTGCCCGATTTTGTTTCTAAAAGCATCCTTAAAAATGTACTTAGTTTTTAAACACGATTTAATGACTTAAGTCACATTCTGTTCCAATTAAGTGTTGCACTATACAGTAAACCATTGTTCAGGAGATTCATGAGAGCAGTGTGGTAATAATTTCAACAAAACTAGCTTTGTCTCAATCTGTGTAGGCAAGTATGTTGTAAAGATTTTACAAGGCATAGTGCAAGGAAAAGGATCTCATCTAAACAGTGAAGCGAGGCTTCAGCACTAGAGTCTCTTGCCCTCAAGTGTGTTCCACACATCTGACCAACGCTCCTCGGAATAGCAAAAGATGACAATTATTGCACCTGAGATAAAAACATATCTAACATTAGTAATGTACTTTGTGCTGTACAGCGCAAGGTATTAGCAAATTATTATGCAAATTAAGCTTTGCATTTCTAGTCTTTGCACTCTCCTTATCATGACTTTCTCTTCCAATTCTTCCTCTGCATCCCTGCTGGGGGATGTTTGTTCTGTGAAGATTTGCATTTCATGTAACTTCTGCTTTTCATGTTGGTAGTTTGGGTTTGGTTTTTTTCCTGCTCTGTCACTCGGGAGATGTTAGGCTGAAATTGTAGTCACCTGGCTAGAGATCTTTTGCTGTCTGCCCTGCTCAGCTGTTGCTCTGAATCACTATTTGCTTCTGTTGCAGCAGGATTTGGGATGGTGTGTTCTATGTTTGCCTTCCGATCACTGGTCTTTAAGGGAAGTATGATACATGTTGTAAAATGAAGCTAATATTCTGTAGGAGCTTTGGAGAAACAACTTGTCGAATTGACATTCTCTATGCAAGACCACTAGAACAAAATAACATGTGATTCTCTGGCCTTAATGTAAAACAGTTTCATAACTCACTGCGATGTGCTCTGTAATCAGATAATGAATAACAGTTCTGTTTCTACAGTAACACACTGAGGAAGTCACTAGTAAGTTGAATAAAAAAAATTAGGATTAAATTATGCTTCCAAGTGAATTGAACCTAAGTATCACATGGTAAGAAGTACTGATTTCTGGATTGATGAAACTCTGAGGAATGTAAGATGTAAGGAATAGATCAGATATTGCTTTCTCATCTTCATGAAGTCACTGATGAGATGAGCTTGTATTTGGTTGTCCTCAGGTGACACTCGATTCCTTTTCTGCAAACAGTGTACTGCAAAGTGGATTTTAGTCTGTCTTCTGATCTGCAAGTTGTGGTTGCTCGCTGCCTGCTAGCATGGGGGTAGGACTGTGGGAAGTGTGAGAATAGTACCAGCAATGTGCAGTGCACAGCCACACTGAACAGACCTGATTTCTACAAGAATTTCAGTCCCACCTCAGGTACTCGGAGTCTGTGTACACCTAGGGCACTTCAGCTGACATTGTCCAACGTTTCTGCCTTTTGAGCAATACACTTGTGTGGAACCTGGAACTGAAAGTTCATTCTGTAGCAAAGAAAGCCTGTGAATTAATCTTGGGATGTGCATCATTTCGCATGTTAACTAAACGCACAGAAGACCTGAATATATAATTATTACAGAAATGATGTGAACATCTCTGAAATTTGCCTCTTCATGTTGTATTGCTTAATCTTTTCAGCCAACAAGGATACTGCAAAGGAGTATGTTATGTTCCTTCATGTGATCAAATCCCTGCTATTTGGAAATGTTCCACTTGAGGGCCAAGAAAGCTATTCATCTCATGGGCTGTACAGATGTGTAATCGGGTTTTTTTTAAGCTTACATTAGTAAAGGAGGAAGAGAATTGCCAAACTGTCTTGGCAGCAGGCTTGAGTTAGCTCATTGTCCCCAGAGACACAGAGGTCTTGGCCTTTTGAAGTAAGTTCATTACTAGAAGTGGGGAGTGGGGAAAGACCTGCTTTTGCATGTGCATTGTAAACCTCTGAACTCTGGGCTAGGACGAAATGAAGCCAATGCGTGAGACATTATATACACAAGGGTGTGACCTGTTTTATAACAAAAACTGCTCCTGACCCAGTTCATGTGACTGGAGTTGGCTGCATTGAGCATTTCTGTAGGGGAGTGGCTTTTAACAGACATGTATGGATAACTTCAGTTTTAAGAAACAAATAGTTTAGAACCAGAATTCCTAACCTATGAATTTAAGATGTTACTTAAAATAACATCAGTAAAAGCAGTTCTTTTTGTGTGTGGCTGTGTGATGAATGAGACAGGAGGCTGACAGAGATTGAAATACATTTTTATGAAGTTGCTTTTGAAATCAGTTTCCTTCCTTCTCCCACTCGCTGCCCGCTGCACTGATGCTGCGAATAGGAGGATGTGAACAAAGGCTCAGGTGCTCAGATGGTGCTTTCCTTTTCTTTCCTTGTACTCGGAAATCCTTTTTTACTAGTCTGTACTGCTGAGGGAAAACAACACAAACATAGCTAACGAAAGGCCTTGGATCATGTGTATGCTGCTCAGTGTGTTTCATGGATTAATGAAAACCTCATCAAACATTCTCATATCTCTTCTGAAAATTACAGTTTAAGTTAAAAGTTATTGTCTCCCTAGTAGGTGATGCTGGTAAAATAAAATGGGACTAGAAATGTCCTGTACCAATTATATCAAAATAATCTTAAATGTTTACTACCTAAGCCTTCAATCTATGAAAGTTTTCGTTTAACTCTGAATCACTGCAAACGTGGTTTCTTTTGCACTGTCCATCAAACTTGAGGTATGGGTGATAATGCATGTCAGCTGCTTTCAGCTGTTTGTAGTCAGTGCAGTTATGTAAGGAGATTCATTTTCTGCTTCTAAATATGGATAATGACCATTTATACGACTTTACAAAGAGATAGCAACCCAGGAACAAAAATACTGTGTTGCTAGCAACCGATCTTGGTTGTCAAACTGTTGTCAGAGAAAAACCTGATACACTTCTTTGTAATCTAAAAGCTAGTGGTAATGCATTAAGTTCTTTTAAAAAGAAAATGAACTGTTGTAATCTAGGATTGGAATTTGCAGAGAGAGAGAAGGTGGATGGATTTTGTTATGCCTGTATCTGCTGTGGGGCACAGGATCTAACTTCAAGCATTGCTTCCTACAAGTGGTGAAACCAAAATCATGCTTTGTTGGAATTTCCCAGAAATAAAACTGAAACATCCCTATGAAGCTTCTTGTCATTGGGAGGTACTTAAAAATGCTAAACTTACTCTTAGTCCAAACATGTAACAAGATACACTTGTATGCAGTACAAGGAAAAAAAATCTTAAGACTTATGGCTTCTGCCCAGCTGGTCTGATTCTGGTGCGTGGTGAGTTTTCATCGTGTAATTGGGATGAAATAGGGAGATTTGTATGCGGAAATGTTTATTAGCTATGAATATGGAAGAAGGTGATTTCCTGAACTGGCACGGAGACTTCCTAGGAAAATTATCAGCACTGCAACCTACCCCGAGAAATAACTCCAGGAAGTTGGAACCCCTTCCCCACAGCTCTGCTGGTAGCTCAGGCAACTTGGAAAGTCTGAAAAACTTTGAATAACTGTTAAGATTAGATTTGCAGTTTTCTGGTTGTGAATTACTTCTATGAAATGCATCGGTTTTGTTCTCTCATACAGTACTAGTGCTTTTATTTACCGTATTTATTTGTCCTGAACCTAAGCATCCCATACCTGGTTCTTACCCAGTGGTAGACCACTTTGTTCTGAAAGGCTAATTCTAAATCGTTCAGATCGGAACTGTTTTCAGAATGTTAGAATAGCTTTCTCATATTCTGATTTCTTACCTTAACTTTGCAGCTGAAGATACATGCAGGAATTATGCTAACTACACAGACCTCTATTTATAATGCATATCTCCTAAAATAACTTTTCCCATTATCTGTCTGTAATGACTAAAAAGTTGGTGCAGGATGTGATATTACTGCTGCTATTCTCCCACCGAATGTTCTGTGCCCTTTCGAAGTATCATTTTAGCAAATAGTGTCATTGAGTGAAATCTATCATCTTGGTTTGTGCTGTTCACAAACCACGGTTTTCTCAGGCAGCTCAGGCATCTCCTTTTCTTACTTCAAAATTGAGTTCACATCTGAAATCGAAAAGATCACGTGTGCCGTAACACTGCAGTGAATACTCAGGTCCGTGATTTCAGATGATTCTTTGATATTCTGTTTCTCTGACACATTCAGATTACAGCTCTGCTTGGGTCCCTTTCTCCCTTGAGAGGATACCAGCCATCATTCTCTAGTGATAGTGAATTTTCCTTACAGGCGCTTTTTCTAGGCTGTTTAAAAGGTATAATGGAGGCTTATGTTTTACTTTCTAATCCTTAGGAGAAACAAGTAACATTGGAGTCATGATACAGACTACTGAAAATTTGGAATAAGTAATGTTATATTCCTGTTTAGGCTCTTTCCTCATCTCTGACTTTCAAGAACAAACAGAAGAAACATCATTCCTTTATGTTGTCCTTGGTGCTTTTCTCAGGATTTATTAAATGTAATACGTATTCCTTAAGTTCAGAAAAGTTTAAAGATAAGTAGCTATATAATACAAAGTAACATCAGACTTTTAATTTTCTTTACTCCAGGGAAAATATTTATCCCCAAGCAGAAGCCTGTACAGTCTTATACGGAAGAAAAATTCTCTCTTGATCCAGAACTGGAGGAAGCCTTGACCAGTGCCACAGACACAGAATTAGGTGACCTTGCAGGTTAGTTTTTTTGAAGTATGAATGAGCTGGTGCATATTTAGACAAGGAATACCTGTAATTAATGTGGCAGCATATTTGCTATCTGAAATCTTACTATAGGAAGTTGTAGTTATAAACTAGATGAAATTATATTTGAGTTTGCTTGTAGCTTATCAACTTTGTTGACTTGTGATAAATTACAGGAAGGTAGATTATTTTGGCCTGCAAGATACCTGATTTTCAAACTCAAAAGTTTTGAGATCATTCCTCAGACTGGCTGGGTTTTGTTGTGTACACTACTGCTTTTTCTTGCATTTAAGAATGTGTTGCTATGTGCCTGTATTCATAAAGCTTGAGTCAAGAATTTTGGGACTCAACTGCACTTTTAACTTTGCTTGAACCTGGTGATGTCAAATCTTCCCAAGATGTGAAAGCCAACTAAAAAGTTGTTATAATTAGTTAATATTTTTCTACTTTTCTTTAAATTATTAAGAGATTGAATGGCTTATTGTACTGATAACTTGGTGTTTTATAAACCTCTGTTGTTATTTAAAGGAACTCTGTATCCAAACTGAATTAGGAACTGTAAAATTGTTTTTTTGCTTTTTCTGTTTTTCCCTATTACAGCTATACTGGGAATGTCCAACTTGATAACAAACAGTCAGTTCTGTGATGTAGTGGGAAGCAGTAATGGGGTTGACAAAGACAGCTTCTCAAGTAAGTGCATACACAAGTACTAGATAAGTTCTTTGTACTGCACGCAATTACTATAGCGTTAACTATTTTCTATTGCAATAGCATTCTTTATAGACTGTTCAGTCTTGATTTAGAAATGTGTGTCTGTAACATTGATAACTGAATTCTGACAAGAGTGAAATTAAAATATATGTACGCTAAAATCTGTTCTGTAGTTAAGTCACTTTTGGGGATAAAAGTAGGCATAAACATGCATTTGAGTGTGTTGGCTTTTCGGTTTCATATTTGTGTTTGTAAGTCAACCCTGTCTGCTTTCTGAAAAAAGCTGGTGTGCCAGAAAAGCAGAAGGGCTGTGAGGACCCTTGGAAAAGAGTTGAACTTTATGAAAATATGGTCAGGAGAGGATGGTATGCTTTATAGTTGGGGGATAGATGTAAAGACTACTGAAATGAATATATGTGACCTGTTTGATTACAATTGTCTTACTTCTCAGATATAGTCAAAGGTGAAAAAATGTTGCCTGTTTTTGATGAACCACCAAATCCAACAAATGTGGAGGAGACATTGCAAAGGATTAAAGATAATGATTCTCGTCTTGTTGAAGTTAATCTAAATAACATTAAGGTAATTACCTGAACTCTGCAGTAAATATGCTGCTTTTTCTCAGTAAAAGACACTTTAAGCTGCAAAACTCTGTAAGAGAGCATGATAGGCTTATCTTAAGTACAGCAGCCTTTCTGCGAAATGTTGCAGTGTGTGTAATCTTAGAGACCTGGAGCTAAACCAATAAACCATCTTGGTTTCTTTTGCCAAATGTGTACTTAAAAGTCTTAGATTTTCTTACTGCCAGCCCAGATTTCTGCTGCTGCCAAGTTCACCACTGTGGAGTTGACTGCTTTGAATCCTTTGTCCTCGACGAAGCATTGTGCTCTCAGTTACTGCTATTGCAAACAGTGATATTGGTACCCGACCTCCTTCTGATTCTCCTACAAAAGAGCTGTGGCAATTAGGGCAGCTTCTGCTCATAAGTATAACAGTTGTGTTTTTAAACACGACTAAAACTTTTGTATATTTGCATGAAAGGAAACCGAACTATAGCACTCCTGACTTACAATGCAGACAGCAGCCTTGCTAGCAGCCTAGGGTATTTGTTGTCATTAAAGGAAGGAAACACCTAGTTTACGAATATTGTACAATAGAGAAATGCTAGCCAAAATAAATGCTGAAAAAGGCAACAGCAGAAAACTTCTAACGTAACAAACAGAAATTTGTTACCCTAATTAATTGTCTAAAATTACTCCTTTTAAGCATCGTTGCTAATACACCATAAAAAAAAAATCAAACTATAAATTGGCAAATTCTGGAATTATTCGTAGTAGAACACAGAGAATGAAATGCTAATGGTTTCACCAGTCTGAAGCTCTAGATATTTTTATATTTGCGGGAGGTTAATTTGATGTTGATAACAGAATGTTCAATTCATGTAAATTTTGCGCAGTCAGCTAAATATTTTTTAACACTTCGATTGTAGCAGTGGCATCGATGTAGTAAAGATGACTTTGCTTTATAGAATTGGTAACTCTTAATAGCCATTGCATCCTACTTGGAGCTTTGCTACATGTGTAGGCCCTTACTGTGAGACTGCTGGAGGCCAGCAATAGTTGTTAATATAGTACATGTTGCTGTAAAGAGTGTAAGATAATGGAAAAGCTGTGGGGAAGGGGATAAACATGTGTATCTCAAGAGAGTGAAATGCTATTTTTAATTCAAGAACATACCAATTCCAACGCTGAAAGAATTTGCGAAAGCCTTAGAAACCAACACACATGTGAAGAATTTCAGCCTTGCAGCCACCCGAAGCAATGATCCTGTTGCTGTTGTAAGTACTCTTGCTAACGTGCTGAAGCGGGGTGCAGGGGAAGTTAGGATGGAAAGACTGGTAAGAGGGCAAATTGAATCCTGTTTAAATATTTAGCAATGGAAATGATTAAATTCTGTTACACTCTAAAGTATGTTTTCTTTAACAAACCTTTGTTGTATCAAAGTGGGTAAATGATTACTGATTGACTAATATGCAGCAATGCATCAGATCTGAGATGAGTGAGAATTCTTCTTTTCCAATCCTTTCCCCTTGATTTTTCATTTTGCTGACCTCCCTCCTGTTTGTTTTTTTTTTTCTTTCCTAACTGTTGAGTTCCTGATGTTTGTTCCACAAGCCAATAGTATATTCAAAATTAACTTCAAAGGAAGCACGTTTGAGGACTAAAAAAGCTCGTAATCTTTTTCAGCTAACTAGAGTTTTAGTTGAAGACAGTTGTAAAATAGCTGTTTCTCTCATCTCCCTGCAATGAAAGACTGGCTTAAAGCATTGGCATATAAAGCATAGTATTAGTCAAGTTTGACACAATTGAAACTTAAGCATTTATCATCTGGTCCTGTTTCTCCTATGTTGAATCAAAAGCAGTATGTAACGTATTTGTAAATAAAGCGGTAAGAAAACAGTACTGTTTTCCCAGGGCCACAATTTGCCTTGGTTTTAATGTCAAATCAGAAAGAAGACTAGTTTGAAAGACTCCATTAAATGAACAAATGAACATTTGAAAGCTCTGGTTTGGGTCAATTAAGAAGTTCCTTTTCAGTAACAATTAAACATTTGTAATAAAAATCTACAAAGGTTTGGTTGTTTTTTCAGGTGTGGTTTTCTTGGGGTTTTTTTTTGCATTGTGACTTGATAGAAAAAAATTTAAAGGGTATGATTTTTATGACAGTCTACCTCAGCAGTTACCTATTTTTGTTTTCTTATTTTCTCAGAAATAAGATCAGGTATATATCCCATTTCTATAAGCATGCTTTTGGCTACATGCTGGTACTGTGCTTAGAGCTTTCAATTTTACCTCTTCCTACCAAGTGTGTAGACACAAACATTTTGAAAGTCAGATCTCCTGTTTACAAATTAACCATATGTAATTTTCGTTTCGATTGACTAACACCCTTTCTTTGGCCTTTACTTACCTTGCATTACTCATTGTATGCTGTGAAGTCCTACAAAATGGAATTGGGCCAATATGCTAATTTCAGACAATTAATATTCTGTGTAGCTTTTTAGTTTGTAACAAGCAAAAGACAGGCCTTTTCTCGACTAAATACTATTAAAAAAGGGAATGTAGATAATGCCAGGTTGAAGACTCACTTCAGTGTCAAATAGGGAGTGAAAACTTGCAAAGTTACACCCTGCATCTGTGAACTTGTTGCTCCTATTGAACTAGTTAGTGGAAATGGTTATCACTGTCGCCTGTGATGTACTGTAGCAAAATTCAGAAGTTTAATGATGCTTTCTTGCATTCGAAGGCTCTTGCAGATATGCTGAGAGTAAACACCAAGTTAAAAAGTTTAAACATAGAATCAAACTTCATCACTGGAGTTGGAATTTTGGCACTGGTTGATGCACTGAAAGACAATGAAACACTGATGGAGATCAAAATTGATAATCAGGTAAGTGTGGTGGTGGTTAAATCATAATTAAAATCAGTCTGTCCTAGTTGACTGCATATTTCTAGAAAGCATCTTGTGATAAAATTTCCAAATATTTTAAGTATTTTAACCCCATGAAACATCTCAGAAACATCCAGTTGAAGTTGATTCCTGGTTACTTCTGGGCTTGCTTGTGCTTTAAAGTGCACAAATGTACTTTATGACCTTCTGCCTTTTAGATTAATCAAAACTAAGATGTTTATTTACTAATATGATGAAAGTATTCTGATCTTAGGATGAATACACCTAAGCTCTGTTGTCTCTGTATCTTTTATTTTAACAGAGGCAGCAGCTGGGCACGATTGCAGAAGTAGAAATTGCCAAGATGCTTGAAGAAAACACCAGGATCCTCAAATTTGGATACCATTTCACACAACAGGGACCTCGAGCCAGGGCAGCTGCAGCTATCACAAAAAATAATGATTTGGGTAAGACCTGTCAGAGGAAGTGCCTATCAGATGAATGGGTGTGGGGCACAGGTTTTAAAGGTGTCTGTAGCAAAATATAAGTAGGTCATTTCAGATCTCTCCTGTGCTTTACTCCTACTCTTCTGTTGCTGCTTGATGTTCTCCTTTTGTTCCAGGGTGTTCAGGTCTACGATAGACCTGATTTTTAGATTGTAGATTTTTAGCATAGTCTAGAACAAGAACATTCAAATTCCACATGAGTTGTGGAAAACGGAGAGAAAATAATAATTTTGACTGTTCAGTGTTATTCAGATAAGATTCATTGTTTCTTCAAAAGCAGTACTTGTAATTACTAGTGCAGGATGCCCTCAATGCCAGTACACCCAGTCTCAATTTAGATTGGTTGAACAAGGAAACTGAACGTACTGTCATGTGCAGAGGCTGGTTCTTTCATACACAGGTACTTTCCCTGCCTCTCTTCAAGGAGAGGCTCTTTATTTGCTGCAGTAAGTTTTGTTGGAGCTCATCTGTTAGAAACCTAACTAAATGTACCAGCAGCAAATTGGTTAATAATGCAGCACGTGAATGGAAATCGTTTGTATAATAATGTCAAATACTTGAGGCTCTCAACTACAACAAGATAATGTGGTCCATCTAATTAAACAGAATTACGTTTTAAAACTCCTTTTAATTAAACTTTTTGGCTTTAGATGCTTTGTGGTAAGGATTGCACATCCTCATCCGTGTGAAAACGGGCCAGGCAGTTTAGTAGTAGTAGTAGTAGTAGTTCAGGAATACATTAGAGGGAAAGAAAAAGGATACTGGAATTTGGTTTAAAGATCCATTTCCCCTCTCAATAAAGTTTAAAGTGGAGAACAGCTCTGAAAGAGATGGAGGAGAAGTAACAGAATGTAGAGCATAGAGAGAGAATAAAAGCACTCAGACACTGCATAACTGTTCCTCAAAATAGATTCTAAACCAGCTATTATTTTTTTTGTCATAACGCTTCAGAGGTGTCTCTATTTTCTTTTAAAACTTCTCTTTTCAATACTTCTCATTTTAGTGTTTGACTGTTGGAAATCTATTGTTTCTATTGATATCTTACCTTTTTTTCTTTGCTTTCTTAGTCTGGAGTATGCGAGTAAAAGTTTCTGCAAATACCTTTTCATCTCTCCAGCCCCGAAGCTACAGAGACAGGTTACTCTGAATACCCAGATGGGTATTGAGCACTGAAAACTGAGATGTTCAAAGTCTCTCATTTCTCTCTTTGTATGTTTCTTCTAAATAATAATCTGTATCTTCTTTCTCCCTTGTTTACACTACGTTGTACTACTTCCCTTTTCTTTGTCTGGAACTGTGTGCATGTTGCTTTTAACTGCATGATTGGAGAAGTCTAAGGTTGGAAACTTTCTTACATTGATGTGCTTGCTCAACTTTTTTTTAAACAAGATGGAGATGCTCTCTATAGTGTCTAAGACCCTTAGCCTCATTTGTTATGTCTGCACAGAAAAGGAAAACACCATTTGATAGGGGAAAAGAAAATATCAATTGAAAATACTATAAATATTGAGGAAAAACTCCAGTCATTCAGTCAATCTTGCATATTCTTAAGCCTAAACAGAATGTGAGCTTTTAGTGATTTTATTCACAAATTTTTGTTGCTCTTGCATTTTCTGACAGTTGAATATTTTTCAGTAATAAATGGAATGTTTTAGGCTATTGAATGGAACACCTGTTTTTTTTTTTGTCAAAGTGTATAGACATCTCACTAGATATATGGTGAAACTCTTGTACCATTTGTTTTGAAGCCACAGAAACTTAATTCTTCACCACTAGAAAACTGCAACATAAAAAAAGAGTACTGGCTAAATCTGCTTACTAAACAAAATGATTCCTGTTTCCCACAAGTCTCTCCTCACAACTATTTGAGGTTGTTAATGAACAATGCAATAAGCGTTGCTAAAGCATAAGCTTAACACTTATGGATAATGCTAAGTGTGAATTACCTTAAGATGTACTATGGAACTTTATGCAGCAAAGTAACTGTTGATGTTGTAGAAACACAAAAAGTAGTTACAATAGATAAAATAGTGAAACTTTTCTTTTTTTTCCTCTCGTTACAGTTCGCAAGAGAAGGGTTGAAGGAGACAACTAGCAGATCTTCTTGTCAAAACGGTGTGGAGATTTCAAGGGTCGTCAAGGCACACTCATCTCCGTGGGCTTTGGCAATCTTGGACTGCATTTACCTGGGTTAGAAGGGAAAAGACTGGAAACCCCTTTCCTTTTAAAGCAAAGCTATATTAATAATCTGCTGGTATGCATCACATTTTTCAGATTGAGACACAGTAACTGCACCAGTCTCTGTACCATAGTTTTTGATTGGTTTTGTTTTTTAAGATCTTTTTTTATATTTCAAGACTTTGGCTGTGCTTTCTACTAAAAATGTAATTACAAATCAATGGTATTAATTGTAGTCAAAGAATGGGACATTCAAGATCATTGGTCAGATAATGACCCAATTGAAATATTTGTTAGAAAATCTGGGGGTGGTTATTTACGTGGAGGGGTGTGTATGTTCTTGAAAACAATGCGTTAGTGATAAGGGATTCTTCACACAACAGTCGGGCTCATTGTGTAGAGCTGTTCAGCCTTGTTCATATGCACTGAAAAGAAATCTTTCACAGCTATCTTATTTGTAATTCTACTCATTTTTTTATTAGTTCTTCATACTGTGATTAAGTTTAAAGACATCCCTTTAAAGCAAACAAAAATAAATTGGCTAAGGACTTCTCCTGAGAGATCTGAGGAATTAATAAAAAAGTGGAAGCCTTACAAAAAAATAGGAGCCTTGCAAAATGACAGTTTTACTGTTATACCTGAATCCTTGAAGTGAAAAGGTCATATAACTGTATCTTGTTCTGTAACTAAAGTGGATACGTTTTAAGACTGATTTTCATGTGTTCATCAGCATTATTTAGTTACATAAAATCCTTATCTACATTCATAAGTATCAATTTCTCTAGAAGTAGTGGACGTGCATTTTTTTAATTCTGCGTAATTCTGTACAGGAGAAGCAGCCTTAACTGTCAAACCACTGTCCTAATTTCTGGTAAATGGAAAAATCCCATTTTTCAAGCTGTTGCATTAAACTATTAGTACTTCATATAAATCTATCAGTTTTTAATAAAACAATGAAGCAGCACTTTTAAGAAAGGATTTTTCTATTCCACATAAGTCTTGATGATGAAACACTACGTAAGGCATGCAGAAATTAACCAAATCTATATGGTGTAGTAATTATGAAAGTATTTAAAGTTCTATATCTAAGCAAATTAATAAGGCAACAAGAATCACTTCAACTTCTGTACATAATCACAGTAAACTTCTTTGAAGTAATGTTAAAATCTAAAGGCTTTTTGGTGTAGGTTTGTTTGGACTGGACTGTAATAGTTTGCTCAATGTTGTCGTGAAATCAAACTCAGAAAAATGTTCTAAAGGACTGCCTGGCTATATAGCAACAGAATTCAACTGACAACTGCTTTCATCAAGGGATCATAATATGGTGAGAATTTTATGTGTAGAAAACATATTGGACTGAGATTTTTGCATCAGGTTGTATATACTATGAAAATTTAACAGAGCAACTCTGACACCGGGCCCATGTTGTAATTTGTTGCAAATCTCGTTTTGGATCTTTAAAGACAGACTTTATTCCAGAGGTGACTTTGAATTTTACTGCAACTGTACAGAGAATTTTAAACTCTAGTGCCTTCAGTGAAGATGTATATAACTGGTTTATACTCGTGAAAGGACCTTTTTTTTTTTTTTTCATATTTCAGAATCGGCCTTTTATTATAATTACAAATAAATGTGTGCTCTGAAAAGCAAGTGGGAATGAATTCTGTTAAAACCAAAGACTATACATACTATAACTCTGAAACAGCTAGATGTGATCTGACTAGAAACAAAAAGGGCTTCTTTGGGGTTTGGCGTTTGTAAATTTTCAAGAACTTCGTAGATTTTGAAATGTATGTTCTTACATAGTACACGTGAAGTCACAAGTGTCTTTTTACAGACAGTGCTGTATAAACATGGCCAAAGCATGTCATGTGCTGAGTTGCCTAAAGCTGTACTTTACTTTTTATTTGCTAGGCACCATAATCATTTTGTGTCAAAAAACAGGCTGTAGTGTCTTCCTTCATTTGTTGAAGGGCTGCATGTTCATAGAATCTCTTCATGTATTGTGATTGTGTGATGATTTATTTTATCATTATCTAACAAGATTAGGCAGTTGTCTCCTACTTGAAGATAAAGGAGAAAAATTGAAAGGCTGGATTATGGAAATTATAGCCCACATCCCTCCCTTTATTAAACCAAATTTAGCTGCTTAATGATTTGTATTCCAATCAAAGGCAGGGGCTCAAACTGCAGCTCTCAGGTGTTGTGCCACAGATGATAGTAGTGGACCTTCAGAATTGATTTAGCTCTGTAGTCAGCAGTTAAGGATTTGACTGCTTGTTGGCACTTTCTGGACAGATACCTGACAGGCTGGGTATAGAAAACTAGAGGGGTTTTTTTCAGCCAGAAGAGTTTGGCCCTCCAGATTGTTGCAGGACATTTAGCATGGTGCATGGAACACTTACAACAGTCGCTTTTCTGCCTATAATGTGTATCCTTTTTGGAATAAATGAAGGAATTCAGTCTGTAGCCAGGAATTGTGGACAGTCTCAACACGCAAAGTGAACATTGATGTAATGCTGTCAAGTGTAGTGAAATCTTGTGAATGACTTCATTATTTTTGAGTACAAAAGCGGTATTACTTCGATAACCAGCTACCATAAGCACAAGGTCTCTTTTACAAAAGAGGTGATACTTTTTTTTCTTGATTATTTTTCAGGCTTAATGTAGAAGCCAAATGACCACATGCACTGGTTCTGTTGGTTCCAGGGAAACATAGCCTATTAATCCAATGCAATTATCTATTTACTGATGTATTTTAAAGAAATAGTCTCACTCTCTCTACAGCTTGAGTAATACTGTTTGTAAGCTACAAACGAGCAAGTGTTCATTTAAATTTCCCTTGAGGAAACATGAATTGAGTGTTTTTGCATATCAGCACTATATGCTGTCAGATTGTAAACCAGTACAAGTTTTGGATGATTAAAGTACTGTATTCTTGTGGTTTGGGGGTTTCGTTTGCTTGGTTTTTTTAAATAGTACACTGACTTGCTTAAAGTTGACCCATGCCTTTATATCAACCTTTACTTTCTCTTCTCTGGTAGGAAAGCGAGTGACCAAATGGCACTTCTGGAGGTCAAAGGCTGCTGCTGGGGGACTATTTTCCTACAGCAGGCACTTGAAAGATGTGCAAGAGCTGATAAAACAAGTGACAGCATATTGTCATGCCTATTCACTCTATACAAGCAAGCAAAGCAGAAATGGGGTGGGATGTTCGGCTGCTTTGTGCAGCATTATTTGAGCCGCGTTTGGCAAGGGCAAGGTAGAGTTGAAGACAAACTGCACTCCCTTTCCTGGACACAGGGGCAGAGTCTTCAACCCTTGGGTGGAACAGGGGCTGGGTTGAGCTCATCTCCCCTTCAGCTGAAGAAACAGGAGCCGGGGGTAATACTAGCATGGAACTGAGGGAGAGCTTGTACTTAAAACTAGATCTTGTGGGAGCTGATAGTAGGAATTTAACTGTTAATAAGAGGAGGAAAGAGTACCTACGCGCGGGCCTCGGCAGCTGCGGGGGTAACTCCTGTTTTGCTGCTGCCTGCTCTAGGCCTCGGGGCCCTGACAGCCCCTCTGCAGGTGCCTGGGACCAAATCCGCCGTCACCGTTTTCTCGTAACGCCACTCTCCGCGTTAACAAACCGCTCCCGGTTCCTCGGGGCATCGCCGTCACCCACACGGCAGCGGATTCACCGGTGCCGGCCCGCGGGGCGCGGCCCCTTTAAGAGGCGGTGCTTCCGCCGCCGGCAGGGCCGCGCGGCGCTCCGTAGTTGCGTCGCTCCGTAGTTGCGTCACTGAGCGGCGCCGGCGGGGTGGCCGTGGGCGCGCGGCCGTTGTGCGGCGGCGGCGGGTCCGTCCGTCCGTCCGTCCCTTAAAAATACACATGAAAACTGTTTTTCAAGATAAGAGAATAATGTACGCTTCATAAACATTCTCAATTTTTAACTTCTGTAGGTAATTTTAAGTGGTAATAAAGGTGAAGGATGTGTTCTTCTTTTTCTCTGTGAGTGTGCTTGCATGTAGGGGCATGTGTGCACATATATGTGTATTTTAAAATAGTATTTTTTCTGCTCAAGAGCATGCAGATGTCATGGATCTGTTTGGAGGTGCAGATGACATTTCCTCAGGGAGCGACGGAGAAGACAAGCCACCAACTCCAGGGCAGCCCATTGTGAGTAGACTTGACTTCTGAAATAAAATAATTAACATGCTATTCCACTCTGAAATATAGAACACCGATTGAGTTTGGTAAAATTTTAATGAAAGGAAGAGTATCGGCATTAAGTAGGCATTACTGATAATTTTGCACTAGCTAAAAGTATTATTAAGGTTTTATACGTAAATGAATGCATGTGATATTGCTGTCTGCCTTCCTCCATCCCTGCTCCACTTCTTATACCTGAAAGAAATATGATGAGTAGTTTTGTTTGTGATGAGATAAAATATAAAATCATAGCTGTCTTTGGTATCTTAGTACAGCTGCTTGACAAATATTTTAATTTTGAGTCTTGATGATAATACATAAAAATACATTTTTTTTATGTGGGAAAAAGTTGTGGCCATGTACTTTCCAGTGCTCAGCTGAAAACTGTGTGTCAGCTACTTTGCTGTTTCCTTACTGTCTTTGGTCTCTTGAGTTTGCAGTGGTATTTGAAATCACTTTAAGTGACATGAGGAAGTGCTAAATTGAATTGCTTTCACTGAAAATGTGCAAGTTCTTTTACCCTAAGCTTCCTGGTCTCTGTGCATATGGATGACATCTCTTTAAGCAAAATGTAAGCGCTTATTAGAGCAACAGTAGCCAGATAGACTTTTTTTTTTTTTCCCTTTATGCTCCTGTTCTCCTTTTTATCATTAGGATGAGAATGGACTGAGTCAAGAACAGCAGGAGGAAGAGCCTAT